TTTGGGGTGGAGAGTTTTGAAGATATCTATCAGGTCCATTTGATCCAGAGTTGAGTTCAGGTCCTGAATACCTTTGTTAATTTTCTGTCTCCATGATCCATCTAATATTGTCAATGGGCATTAATTTTCCATCATCATTGTGCTGGAGTCTAAGTCTCTTTGTAGGTCTCTGAGAACTTGCTTTATAAATATGGGTGCTCCTGTATTGGTGCATTTATATTTAGCATAGTTAGCACTTCTCAGAGAATTGAACCCTTTACCCTTATTTAATGCCCCTTGTCTTTTTTGAACTTTGTTGGTTTCAAGTCTGTTTTGTCAGAAACTAAGGTTATAACCCTTGCTTTTTTGTTGTTCTTTTCTGTTTGCTTTGTAAATTTTCCTTCATCTCTTTTTCTTTTTTTTTTTTTTTTTTTGAGATGGATGGAGTCTCACTCCTTCTCCCAGGATGGAGTGCAGTGGCACGATCTCAGGTCACTCCAAGCTCTGCCTTCTGGGTTCACACCATTCTCCTGCCGTAGCCTTCTGAGTAGCTAGGACTACAGGCGCCTGCCACCATGCCTGCCTAATTTTTTTGTATTTTTAGTAGAGATGGGGTTTCACCATGTTTGCCAGGATGGTCTTGATCTCCTGACCTTGTGATCCACCTGCCTCGGCCTCCCAAAGTGCTGGGATTACTGGCATGAGCCACCATGCCTGGCCCCTTCGTGTATTTATTTTGAACCTGTGTGTGTCTTTGATGTGTTATGGGTCTCTTGAAGACACCACACCAATGGAGGCTGACTCTGTATCCAGCTTGTCACTCTGTGTCTTTTAAGTGGGGCATTTAGCCCATTTACATTTAAGATTAACATTGTCATGTGTGAATTTGATCCTGTCATCGTGATATTAGATGGTTATTTTGCAAACATGTTTATGGTGTTGCTTCATAGTGTCACTGGGCTGTGTACTTCAGTGTGTTTTTGTAGCAGCTGGTAATGGCTTTTCCTTTACATATTTAGTGTTTCCTTCAGGAGCTCTTGCAAGGCAGGGCTGGTGGTAATGAGTTCCCTCCCCATTTGCTTGTCTGAAAAGGATCTTATTTCTCCTTCACTTATGAAGCTTAGTTTGGCCAGATGTGAAATTCTGGGTTGGAATTTTTTTTTCTTTAGATTATTGAATATTGGCCTCCCATCTCTTCAGGCTTCTAGGATCTCCAGTGAAAGGTCCGCTATTAGTCTGATGGTGTTTCCTTTGTAGGTCACCTGGCCTTTCTCTATGACTGCCTTGACAATTTTTCTTTCATTTTGACCTTGGAGAATCTGATTTTTATGTGTCTTGGGGTTGATCTTCTCATGAACTATCTTACTGAGGTTCTCTGCCTTTCCTGAATTTGAATGTTGGTCTGTCTAGCTAGTTTGGGGAAGTTCTCCTGGATGAGATCCTGAAGTATGTTTTACAAGTTGGCTCTGTTCTCCCTGTCTCTTTCAGGGACCCTAGTCAGTCATAGGTTCAGTCTTTTTACATAATCCTGTATATCTCAGAGGTTTTGTTCATTCATTTTCATTCTATTTTCTCTACTCTCATCTGCGTGTCTTGTTTCAGAAATATAGTCTTAAAACTCTGAGATTCTTTCCTCCTCTTGTTCTATTTGGCTATTGATACTTGTGATTGCATTGTGAAGTTCTCATGTTGTGTTTTGCAGCTCCATCAGATCATTTATGTTCCTCTTTAACTGGTTATTCTGGTTATCAGCTCCTATAATGTCTTATCATGATTCTTACCTTCTTTGCATTGGGTTACAACATGCTCCTTAGCTCAGTGAAGTTCATTATAGCCACCATCTGAAGCCTACTTCTGTCAGTTCATCCATCTCAGCCTCAGCACAGTTCTGTGTCCTTGTTGGAGAGGTGTTGCAATCATTTAGAGGAGAAGAAATACTTTGGCTTTTTGAGTTTTCAGCATTTTTGTATTAATTCTTTATCATCTTTGTCAACTTATCTACCTTCAATCTTTGAGGTTGCTGACTTTTGAATGGAGTTTTTGTGGGGTCTTTTTGTTGACATTGTTGTTGCTTTCTGTTTCTTTTGTTGTTGTTGTTGTTGTTTTTCAGTCTGTCCCATCTTCCATAGGGCTGCTGCAGTTTGCTGGGGTTCCACTCCAGACCCTAGTCACCTCACACTCTCCCATACCTGGAGGTATCACCAGTGAAGGCTACAAAACAGCAAATATGGCAGTCTGCTCCTTCCTCTGGGAACTCCATCCCAGGGGAGCACCAACCTGATATCGGCCCCAAGGCTCCTGTAGGTGTCTGGAGACTCCTATTGGGAAGTCTTACCCAGTCAGGAAAAAAAGGATCAGGGACTCACTTAAAGAAGCAGTCTGGGCCGGGCACAGTGGCTTACGCCTGGAATCCCAGCACTCTGAGAGGCCAAGGTGGGTGGATCATCTGAGGTTAGGAGTTCAAGACCAGCCTGGTGAACATGGTGAAACGCTGTCTCTACTAAAAAGACAAGAATTAGCCGGGCATGGTGGCATGTGCCTATAATTCCAGCTACTTGGGAGGCTGAAACGGGAGAATCGCTGGAACTTGGGAGGTGGAAGTTGCAGTAAGCTGAAATCAGCCACTGCATTCCAGTCTGGGCGACAAAGTGAGACTCCATCTCAAGGAAAAAAAAAAAAAAAAAGCAGTCTGGCTGCCCTTGGCAGAGCAGGTGTGCTGCGCTGAGGGGAACTTTCTTCACCCAGGCTCCCCGGACATTCCCAAGCCAGCAGGCTGAACTGCAAATATGGTGTCTGTCCCCGCCGCCTTCAGTGGCTCCATCCCAGGGAGAGATCAGAGTTCTGTGCCTAACACCCTGGCTGGAATTGCTGAACTTCCCATAGGGACATTCTCCTCCCGCCTGGTGAGGAGAGATGGATTGGGGTCTCACATAAAGAAGCAGTCTTGCCATGATCTGCCACAGCAGCTGTGCTGCGCCATGGGAATTTCCTCCCAGTCCCACTGCCCAGACTCCCCGGAGCTGGCAGGCTGAAATCGCTGACTTGAGCCGCAGAAATGGCAGCTGTCCCTCCCCCAGAGAACTCGTCTCAGGCAGTCTCCAGTCTGCCGCTACTAGCTGGCTGGCCAGTGGGTCTTTAACTTGTGAGCTGCAGAGGTGCCATGGGAGTGGGGCCCACAGAATGACACCGCTTGGCTCCCTGGCTTCAGCCCCTTCCAAGGGGAATGCACAGAGGATCTCCTATCTCACTGGAATTCCCAGGGCTGGAGTATGCAAAACCTCCTGTCTCCATGCATGCCTGAGCAGCCGCCAAGAATCCACACAACTCTATGCTTCAGACCCAAGGCCTTGGTAGCATGGGGTCATTAGGGGATCTCCTGATCCACGGGTTACAAAGATCTGTGGGAAAAGCATGGTTTCCCCGGGCAAGGTCGCACAATCACTCACCACCTCCCTTGGCTGGTGTGGGGGCTCCCCAATACTTTACTTTTTACATGTATTTTCAAAATTCTTTTATGAGCTCTAAGAAGGTAGAAAATAATCATGCCACTAGATTAGATGAAAATATTTATGTAGAAACTGAGCAATTATCTATTTAGCTCAGATCCATAGAAACTGACATTCCCACAAGAATGGATTGTGGTTAGAATTCTGGAAGAGTAAGAACTGGTGAATATCTATGCTTTGTAAAAGAAGATTTAATTGTTTCATTTGCTTTAACAACATGCCTAGGATTGAATAGTGAGGGTGTACAAAAGCATCTTTGGGGCATTTTGGTGTCTGAAGATGGTGGGGAATGCAGTGCATGTGGATAACAGAGTTCAATTTTTACTTCAAATAATCTGGAAACATTCTGATCACCTCAGTCACTATTTGAGGACAAGAACAATGAGCTGGGAACCATGTGGGAGAATTGCGGCTGCTGAAGTTCTGCTCGCAGAATGAGTTTTTTACATTAATAACAAGGGGTTTCACCATCAAACTTTCGAGCTGCAAGACTGGTTTTCTGAGTGCATTTTTAAAGAATACCCATTGGAGATATTTGCTACACAATGTACCATAATCTGACATTCTTTGAAGCAGCCAACAGCAGAGAAAGATCAGAAAGATACAAACTTTTAAGACATTGCTCATTCTAGCTTACTTTGAACTTTAAAGCCTCTTTTTCAGTGATAACAGAGTCTACAATGGGCGATCAAACTTGGAAATCACAGCTTGAAATGCCCATCCAGATGAAGTCATGCAGAAAATGAAACAAATCTGGCAGAACAAGACTGTGGTCAGAGAAACAAGACAATGTCAAAGGAAAGGGCAACAAGTAGACAATCAGGACCAATTTCTTTTCTTTCTTCCAACTCCCTCTTTCTCCCATGACCCAGTTTCCTGTCCAAAGGTAGGAATCCTAAGAGTGTGCAGAAATAAGTCACATGCAGACTAGATTTGAAAGATGCAGAGAATTCCGTGGAGACTCTGATGGCTAGGTCACTGACTGTAGCTGCACACCCACATCCAGAAGTTGAAGGAGACAACTCTGGGATAATAAAGATCTAGGAAGTATGTATCTGCCATATATGAGTCAGAGCTTCAGAATTAAGCCACGTGATGATGAAAGATGTCTTGGTCCTCCTAACTGATTCAGAACATCTATGTATGTCTCTCTTTTCACCTAAATTATACATTTGTTGAGACAAGGAGTTATCTCAGAGCTCTTAATGTTACCCCCAGCACCTTGTACTTATGGGGCATTTGATATGTGAATTTATTTTAGTAACCACTTTTGCATGTATGTGTGTATCTGTGTGTGTTTTGTTGTTATTTGCTAACAAGAATTTAATATTAGATGATAATTTTTCCCAATTAACTGGTATTTATGGAGTTTTAAGGTTTTTTTTTTTTCTAGGCCACTGAAAACCTTCCAACCCATGAAATTTTTTCTCATCTTGCCCTATCTAGCTACATTTTGAATATTTCCTTGGCAACAATCATTAAGAATGAGTCATTTCTCTAATTCTTCTTTTCCAGGGCACCGTTGAGCTGTTGCAACTGTTCTGCTGGTAAGTACTTTTATGTGCTTGAGAGAAGTGGAGTGGAAACTAATTTTTCTGTGACCCATAATTTTATAATTTGTATTTTTGAGAAATAATCCATTTTCAAAGTGACTCTCCCTTAAGTCTTCATCTTTTGTTCTAACTTACTTCCTGTATTAGATTTGTCTTAAAATTAAATGAAAAGTGGAAGAGAAAAAATAGTAAAATCTCAGAAGTAAACATACAGCTTCTAAAAATATTAGAGCTGGGGACAAACTTGTTTGTTACCTGGCAGCATAATCTTAGAGAGGTTGAGTGGCTTCTTTAACATAACATGGTTGTCTGCTAATGGTTACAACAGAATTCAAAATTCCTAATTGTTCAGTGTATTATCTAGTAACTGATAGTGGCTAATTCACGCCATAAAGTAAGTAGAAAATGTAAATATATATTAGGTACTAGAAAAACAAACTCTACTGAGGATGGTTTTATATTTGCATGTTACTATGTTATAGAATACAATTATACAAAAAATGTATATAATACAATTTCATATAATTTTATAATAGCATTTAATGTTAAATGTGCTTTCATATACATTATCTCTTTTGCATCTTTTTTCCCATGAAATTTATATGTTTTTATTATTCCCAGATTAAACCTCATAAATATAAAATGGTTAATAAGTGATGAATCTGAGATTTAACTTTGGTTTTTAGTTTTTTTTTCTCTAGGAATCATGCCCAAAGACCCAGATTTCACCAGTTTTCTGGTGGAACAAAGTCTGTTAACTTTTATTCATGTCCTTGAATGGCCTATGTCCACATTCTTTCTTCTCAGGAGGTAGAGATTAGTTCTCTGCAGACTCCACAGCTAGACTGTGCATCTAGAATTATTTAAATGAATGTGTGAGGTGGCATCAACCCTTGACTTCATTCCAAACTATAGCTGACCTTCACTTATATTGACCTTATTCTAAATTGGTCTATTTTTCTAAGTGAATTTAATATTATCTGTTAAATTTGTACAAATAGTTGGCTAGATTTTTTTGTTTTTTCTTTGTAAGAACCAAAAGAAGTAAACCAACAGAAAAATAGATAGAAATGAATAGAATTATATTTCTCGAATTTGACACTGAGTGGGAATTCATTTAATACATTTAATGGATGTTGTCTTTGTTTTGCTTTGCTATCACAGAACACCTGAGGCTGGGTAATTGACAAAGAAAAGACATTTATTTAGCTCATGATTTTGTATGCTGGGAAATCCAAGAACATAGCACCACATCTGACATGTTTCTGGGGAGGGCTATGTGCTGGATCAAAACACAGCAGAGAAGTGGAAAAGTGAGTGAGTGTGTGCAAAGAGATCATGTGGCAAGAAACAAAGCAAGACAGAATAGAGAAAGCGAAGCTCACTTTTATATCAACTTGCTGTCTAGTAACTAATACAGTCTGTGAGAGCAAGGATTCATTCACTCCCTTGGGAGGGCATTCATCTATTCATGAGACATCTGCTTCCATGACCCAAATATTTTGCACTAGGACCTACCTCTCAACATTGCCAGACTGGCAATTAAGCTTCAGCATGAGTTTTTGTGAGGACAAACCCCATCCAAACCATAGCATTCTGCCCCTGGCCCTCTATAACTTATGTCTTTCTCAGGTACAAAATATAATCATTCTATCCCAATACTCACAAAAGTCTTATTCCAGTGTCAACTGAAAAGTCCAAAGTCCATGTGTAAGCCTGTAAAATCAAAAACAAATTATTTACTTCCTAAGTTTAATAGTTGTACAGTCATAGGGTAAGTACTTATGTTCCCCCAAAAAGAAATTTGTCCAAAGGAAGGAGTAATAGACCCCCACACAAATCTGAAACCCAGCAGGGCAGACATTAAATTTTAAAGCTCTAGCATAGTCTTACATTCCATGTGCTGTCTCCAGGACATACCTGAGCAAGGGCCAGATGTCCAAGGCCTCAGGGAATCCCATACCCATAGCTTTGCTGGGTACACCCCATGTGACTACTCACAGGTTAGAGTTCAGTGCCTGTGACTTTTTTCAGGCTAGAATTATACCCTGGTACTTTTACAGTTCTGGTATCATGGCAGCAGCCCTTCTTCAATAGCTCCACTAGGCTCATGGCTCTATGGTGGCTCTGGCCCTGTGACAGGTTTTCCCTGGGCTCCCAGGATTTTCAGTACATTTTCTGAAATCTAGGTGGAAGCCACCAAGCCTCCATAGCTCTTGAATTCTGTTCATCTGCAAACTTAACACCATGTGAAAACCACCAAGACTTAAACGGTTTGCACTCTCTAGAGTGGTAGTACAAGTCATACCTGGGACCGTTTGAATAATGGCTGCCCCAAGGATGTGGGGAACAGTGTTTCAAGGTGGGGCAGGGTAGCAGCAATCTGGGCCTGTTCCCCCAAAAATGTTTTGTCCTCCTAGACCTCTAAGCCTGTGATGGGAGGGGTAGCCTTGAAGAATTTTGAAATGCCTTCAGGGCCTTCAGGGCCTTTTTTCATTGTTTTGATGTATAGCACCCGGTTCCCTTTTATATATGATAATGTTCAGTAAGCAGTCTACTTGGCTGCACCTTTGGATTTCTCTTGAAAATAGTCTTTTATTCCCTATCAGACAGCCAGACTGCAAATTTTCCAAATCATTTTGTTCTATTTCCCTTTTCTCTAAAAACTCACTATAAGTAGTTAGAGGTAACAATGCAGCAGCCTGAGCACTTTCTTGTTTCAAAATTTCTTCCACCAGATGCACTATTTCATTACTCTTAAGTTCAGCCTTCCACAAACCCCTAGAGCATACATAAAGTGCAGCCAAATACTTACCCATAGTTAGAAAGGATTAACTTTCCCTCAGTTCCCAGTAAGTTTTTTATTCATTTCCATGTGAGACTTCATTAAAACAGATTTTGTGATTTATATTTCTTTATTTTTAATATTTAATTTATTTTAATTTCTATTTTACCATCTATAATTCTAGCAGCATTTTGGTCACAACCACTTAACCAATTTCTAAGAAGTTCTAAACTTTTTCTCACCTTTTTGTCTTTCTCTGAGCTCTCACCAAAGTCACCCTTAATGTTGTATTATTGGCAATGCAGGCTTTTTGTAGTCTGCTCCAAATTTTTCCAGTCACTGCTCCTTAACCAATTCCAAAGCTGCTTTATAGTATCTTTATGGCAGCATCCCACTCCTCAGTATGAATTTTCCCTCTTAGTCTGTTTTGTGTTGCTATAACAGAAAACTTAAGGCCACGTAATTTATAAATAAAAGAGATTTATTTAGCTCACAAGTCTACAGGTTGGGAGTTCAAAAGCATAGCATCTCATCTGTCCAGCTTCTGGAGAGAACCATGTGCTGGGTTGAAACATGACAGAGAAGCAGAAGAGTAGGCAGGCATGTGCAGAGAGATCCCATGGTGAGAAGGGAAATAAGAGAATATCCAGGAAGCCAAACTCATTTTTATCACAACCCAGACTCTGGTAACTAATTTAGTCTTACAAGAGTGAAAGTTCACTCACTCCTATGGGAAGGCATTAATCTATTCAAGAGGGACCCCGCTCATGTGAGCTAGATACCTTCTGTTAGACCACACCCTCCAATACTGCTTCACTGGCCATTAAACTTGAACATGAGTTTTAATGGGGACAAACCACATCCAAACCATAACAAATGTCATCTTCCCTAATAGATAGAATTCTTCATCTGAGAGGAGCCATTCACAGTGTATTTGGAGAATATTAAATATTTATGCATTAAAAATTACAATAAAATATAATCAGATGAAATTCAATGTTGACTATTCCTAATTTTTCTCTTTTAGGGCCAAAATTCATGTTATCAGAAAATACACTATTGGAGTCCCTCTGGTTTGAAAACATTGGTTAAAATATTATTGTCTCCTCTAAATAGTTGTTGAGTACCTCGTATGTGTCATGCACTGTGAGAGGAGTAGAGAGTCTGAAAGAGTTTCTGCACAGCGCTGTCTGTTCAGGGGTGGTGGTAATTATTCCTCTTAAGGAGATTAAGATCTTTCAAAGAAAACAGAGACACATATAAGCGATTACTACATATTGTGGTTAGTGATATGATATAATACAGCAGGGACTCTAAAAGAACCCAAAGAATAGACACACAATCCAAAAAGGGAGAAAAACTGCAGAAAAATTTCTGGAAAAGAAGACCCATGCTCAGAAGCCTGGGGGACTGTTGGTCATTCTAGCAGAGGGATCACTGTGGACAAAGTACAAAAGACATAGACAAACTCTGAGAAAATAAAAGGTATTTCAATGAGTCTGGAGTGCAACATGCAAGGAGGAAAGTGGTGCAAATTAGATAGGACTAGACATGGGGGAGATCTGACCTAAATAGTGATAAAGAATAGAATTGGAGATATTCAGAATTTGGAAGTGAGAGGACTTTCTGATTCATTGGATATTAGTGGCAAGGCAGGAATCTAGGGTGAGCTTTACATTTCTGACTCAGATAGAGGATAATTTGCTGTGCCCTTGACTGGGAGTGGGAATGTGGTAGCAGGGAAAAGAAGATCATTTCAGAAAGTAAAGTGTGCAAGGATTAGTGTTACTTGAATTGCCCCAAAATATCCCCAAGACAAGCAAAGGGAAACCATGTATAAACATGTTTTTATGCCCCACAGAAAACATTTTAAGAGCTTCATCCAGCCTATGACCTGAAAGTGTGTTGTAGAAACGTGAATGTAGATGTTTGGAGTCATTCACATAGGATTATTCTACCATTGCATTGGAAGGTGAAATGTTAGCATCTTTGTCTTAATAAGAGACATCTCTCTAAACACAAGTCTACCTTTTCCAAAATATGGGTAAAGCCCTTGTGTGACTCCCAGGCACAACAGAAATCAGATATATTATTGGCAGGAAACCAGCATAAGTACAGCCCCACAGACCCACAGAGTTTGTTGTTTTTGACACTGCTTCTTTGGACTCTAACATCCGCTTCCCATTCCTACTAAGAGGTTGTCTGGTCC